TTAAAGTGGGAGAGGAGTATTGAATTTAAGGATGATATTGGAGTGCGAGGGGGTGGCAGTGCGAGAAAGGGGAAGAGGAAAAGGAAGAAAGGAGGAACGTTTCATTGTTCGAAATGGAAATTAATAAAACCATAAAAAAAAAACGGAATAAAGAAGTCTCAGTCAGTCTCAGAAGAACAACGAAACGTAACGAAAATAAAAATGAAACGAGAGCGATGCCAAGTGAGAAATCTTTCCGGCATTCGCTCTCAATGAGGATGTCGTTATAATGGACAGTCTCCTTCCCCTTTCCGTCTCACGGGGAAATATCTTTGTAAAGAGAGTGCTAATGGTCAGATAACGATGTGTACAGTAGGACCTGTTCTCACTGTGTGGGTCTGTGTGACTATCATTATTCCAGGTCGGCCGATGGTGTCCGTGGTATGCTGTTCTGCTGTCGTTGCTGATGTTTGTGGTTTCCATTTTGTTGTTTTTTTCTCAGGATTATGGTATTTATGTTTCAATCAGCGTTCATATCTAGCACACACACACACACACACACACACACACACACACAGCACACAAACACACACACACACACACACACACACACACACACACACACATATATATATGTATATATATATATATATATATATATATATATATATATATATATATATATATATATATATATATATATATACATATATATATATGAATATATATATATATATATATATATATATATATATATATATATATATATATATATATATATACATATATATACATATATATGCAATAGATGTATGTTTCTATGCACAGACGTAGGATACCTAGTTGAGTGTATCTGACAGACAATAAACGAATACATCAGGCACAGAAAGGAAAGTAAGAGGAAAGAAAAAATATATATATGGCAATACGGAGTGTGTGTGTTTGTGTGTGTGTGTGTGTGTGTGTTTGTGTGTGTGTGTACCTTGTACATAAGCACGTTTTTTGTAAGCTATTAGACATAGACCACGTGGCCGGAAGAAAACCACTGACTCAGTGAGGACTTAGGATGATGAATTTATCTGGTCTTGACCTCTTAGAACGTGTCTTAGAACGTGACCTCCGCACTCAACGCTTACCCTAAGACTCGTTTCGTGTGTATCCATCGTGTTGTATGTATTCTTCTGTGATAATGAGTCAAACCGTTATAAAACTATGACTACTACTGCAAACCATTGTACAAGTGTGTGTGTTTGTGTTTGTATGTGTATGTGTGTGTTTGTGTTTGTATGTGTATGTGTGTGCATGTGTGTGTGTGTGTTTGTGTGTGCGTGCGTGTGGATTTGCAGATAAGTAGATAGGCAGAAAACTATATTTGATGAGATCCATAAAATATAGTACAGTTTCCAAACAACTGCGCAGCCATGATTCCCAGCAAAATGTAAAATCATAGATGCATTTCGAGAAAGCATGCCTTTTCGCTTCTAACACGGCCTCAGAAAAACCCATTTATTTGTGATTATTGAGCAGAAAACCCAAAGGACTCTATCCTTTACTGCAGAAAATAGTTTGATGATAAAAAAAAAAATGCAGAGAGCAGGTGCACAACCGTGGAATGCCAAATCCTTTACGAAAGATGCAGTAATGTCGACTGCAACATTTTGCATTGAAAACTTCTCTTTCCAAGCTTAAAATCGAGAATCTGAATCCTATTGGTCAATGAAAGGAAATGTCCCTGTTTTTATCCCTTCTTCCCACGTTTATTGTTGCATTCGTCCATGCAACATTTCTAGGCAACTAAAAATCGCCTCCTCATGATGATCACGTAAGTTAAAAATTGATCCCAATGAATATAAAAATATCCCTTATCTGTTTCTCTGCCAAAAGTCAAGTGAGGATAAGATAAACATTACTCGGTCATTCTGATTCATGAGCCGCCGAGATTGATGTCAGGTGAACAGTGTATCAAACGTCACATATTTCTTCTCATTCTAATCCACCAACGCAATGCGCATTCTGTTCAGTATCAATATAACGCTTCCTAGGAAAAAAGAGACAAATAGAGACGACTAGATGGATTATATGTATGTGTGTGTGTGTGTGTGTGTGTGTGTGTGTGTGTGTGTGTGTGTGTGTGTGTGTGTGTGTGTGTGTGTGCGTGTGTACTGATAACAATAATGAAAGCGATAATGATAGCAATAACAATAATAACAATTAGCGGCCCCGTGAAAACTACACCCTCCTAAACTTCGCCTTTCCTCTGCCCTTCCCTTCCCCGCAAATCTTCCCTTGATTTACTCTTCCCTTCCCACTTTCAGACCTTTATCTTCCCCTTCCCGTATCCCTCCTCTTCCTCCTTAAAGTACCCCATCTCCTTCGCTCCCTTGTCTCCTTCCTTCCCTCCTCCATTCCCTTTTATTCTTTCCCTCTCCTCTTCCCCGTTCCTTTTTCCTCTTCAAGTCTCTTCCGTTTCTGCTGTTTCCCATTCTCTATTTCCCTTTTCTCTCAAAAACTCCCTTCCTCTCTCTTTCTCCCTCTCCTCCCTTTCTTTTCCCTCTTTCGTTCCCCTCCCCCCATACGTTCCTTCTTAACCTCCCCCCGGATAGTCGTGTAAATAATAAATGTATATAAAACTGATGGTATAACAACTTCGATGAAGCATACTTGCCTCAAAGAATGGTAATGATGATAATGATAATGATAATAACAATGATAATGATAATAATAAAGATATTAATAGAGTTGAAATAGGATTCTCATATATTCTTCACATGATGTGCACGCGCGTGCATGTGTGTTGTCAATTATCACCCTATTTACACCAAAATATGGTGACTTCAATTCCGCAGTCACATAGAAAATGGCTTCAAGTATAAGATGGCCAATGGACATCTATAGTCAAGGCTGTTAATAGTAAGGAACTCTAAACTCGGGGAAAAAAACGGGTAATGGTTTTATTTCTGCTAAGTATAACAATGTCGAGCAAATTATACCAATAATTATGTATATAGCTCTATCTATGAAAATGATTCTGGATTTTTAAAATAATGATCGAAAACGAAACCCAGAAAAAAACAAAAATATTTAACATTTATAATGACTAAAGGTAATGAGGCGGGGCTTAGGTCGAAAGTTGCTAACTAGGATTTTCATCGAAATGGAGTGCATGGGAGATGTTTCCAGGCATAAAATGTAACCGTAAAGACCAGACGGACGGATGGAAAACAAATAGAAATGAAGTGCAATAATGGTAATTAAAATGATAGTTATTGTACTAGTGGTGACTGTCGTACTAGGAGTAAAAATACTGATAATAAGTATTTTTGAATATATAAAAGTAATAATAATAATGATGATGATAATTAGACGATAAAGAAGAAAAAACTCAAACTGGATGGCTCACTCTCATTTTGCTCTCAGGTACACACACATGCACACACGTACACAATGATGTGTGTGTATATATGGGATCAGGAGAAGGAGAGGGAGGAGGAGGATGAGAAGAAGAAAAGAAAAAGTAAAAGAGAAAAGTGAGAGAGAGAGAGAGAGAGAGAGAGAGAGAGAGAGAGAGAGAGAGAGAGAGAGAGAGAGAGAGAGAGAGAGAGAGAGAGAGATGGAGAGAGAAAATGTGGAAAGAGAGAGACAGACAGACAGACAGAGAGTTGGAGAAAGAGAGAGAGGGAGAGAGAGAGAGAGAGAGAGAGAGAGAGAGAGAGAGAGAGAGAGAGAGAGAGAGAGAGAGAGAGAGAGAGAGAGAGAGAGAGAGAAAGAGAGGGGGGGAAGGGAGAGAGATAGAGATTCATAGATAGATAGGCAGACAGATAGATAGAGAGAGAGGGAGAGAGAGAGAGAGAGAGAGAGTTAGAGAGAGAGTTGGAGAGAGAGGAAGAGAGAGAGAGAGAGAGAGAGTTAGAGAGAGAGGGAGAGATAGAGATTCATAGATAGATAGACAGACAGATTGATAGTTAGAGAGAGAGAGAGAGAGAGAGAGAGAGAGAGAGAGAGAGAGAGAGAGAGAGAGAGAGAGAGAGAGAAAGAGAGAGAGAGAAAGAGAGAGAGAGAGAGAGGGAGAGAGAATGAGAGAGGTAGAGATAGATAGATAGAGAGAGAATGAGAGAGAGAGAGAGGGGGGGGGATGAGAGAGAGAGAGAGAGAGAGAGAGAGAGAGATAAAGAGAGAAGGAGAGAGGGAGAGAAAGAGAGGGAGAGAGAGAAAGAGAGAGAGAGGGAGAGGGAGAGAGAGAGAGATAGATAGATAGAGAGAGGGGGGAGGAGATAGAGATTCATAGATAGATAGACAGACAGATAGATAGATAGTTAGAGAGTCATAGATAGATAGACAGACAGATAGATAGATAGTTAGAGAGAGAGAGGGGGGGGGGAGAATGAGAGAGATAGAGATAGAGAGATAGAGAGAGAATGAGAGAGAGAGAGAGAAGGAGGGAGGGGGGAGAATGAGAGAGAGTGAGATAGAGAGATAAAGAGAGAATGAGAGAGAGAGAGATAATTAGATAGAGAGATAGAGAGAGAATGAGAGAGAGAGGGAGGGAGGGGGGGAGAATGAGAGAGAGAGAGAGAGAGAGAGAGAGATAGAGGGATAAAGAGAGAATGAGAGAGAGAGAGAAAGAGAGAGAGAGAGAAAGAGAGAGAGAGAATGAGAGAGAGAGAGAGAGAGAGAGAGAGAGAGAGAGAGAGAGAGAGAGAGAGAGAGAGAGAGAGAGAGAGAGAAGAGAGAAAGAGAGAAGAGAGAGAGAGAGAGAGAGAGAGAGAGAGAGAGAGAGAGAGAGAGAGAGAGAGAGAGAGAGAGAGAGAGAGAGAGAGAGAGAGAGAGAGAGAGAGAGAGAGAGAGAGAGAGAGAGGCGGAGGGAGAGAGATAGAGATAGATAGATATGATAGATACAGGGAGAAGGCAAGATTTTCCCCAATTACAGAGACGACCGTCCATACGTTAGAAAATTCAATACATCTCTCTACTATTTTTCCCAACTGTAAGATCGTACCCTGAGCGACTAACCACTGGATGACGTAACAATGACCTTCACAGATCCCTTCAACTGTCTCAGTGCTCTGTCTCTCAGTCTCTCTCCCAGCGGCACAACTGCAAGCAGCTCCGTGTCGTTGTCCTAGGTATGAAGTTATTTATTTGTTGTGAGGGCGTTTAGTGTTTAAGATGTTGGGGATTGAGTAAGAAATTAGTTATAACTTAGCGTATATTACCAAGGAAGAGCAGGTATTTGCTAGCACTGTGTAGCAGTTTAGTTGTGTTACCGTTTTGTTGTTGTTGTGGATGTTAGCACATTTTGTTTTTGATAAACAATTTGATATAAAGACTTTGAGTGTTGGAAGTAATGCTGAATATTATTAACATTAACATGTCATTATAAAAACGAAAAATGTAGTGGTAACTCCAAACTCAATAAGATAATTGTATGTTGCCTTTCCGTTTAGTAATATCATGGTTTTTCCATATTGAATGGGCGCGTGCACGTGTGTGTGTGTGTGTGTGTGTGTGTGTGTGTGTGTGTGTGTGTGTGTGTGTGTGTGTGTGTGTGTGTGTGTGTGTGTGTGTGTGTGTGTGTGTGTGTGTATGTGTGTGTGAACATATATTGTAAGTGTGATGTAGGTATATAAGTAGGTATTAAATTATGTCTGTGTGCAAGTAGTATGTGTGCATATATGTATGTGATTATACACGTATGTATATATAATGCGTGTGTATGCGTGTAATTAATTGAGTATGTGTGTAGGTGTGTGAGGGTGTGTGTGCATATATTTGTGTTTTGGTATCGCATTATCTTGTTTTTATTCGCGTTTTATAGCAGCTTATACTTATAACAGACTTATCTTAGATTATTTTCATTTAAAAATAAGGTAAAGTCATCATGTGCGTGGTGTTTATGCGTATGCTCGTGTGTGTGCGTTACTGCGTGGATTTTGTAAATGCATGTAGAGTAGACTTTTGTGGATAACAATGAGTAAGTTCAGAATTACTTTCCAATATCTTTACGTGCGTTTATGAGAATATATTTCATATCTGACTCCAACCCTTTATCATAAATATCCTGTTGTAAGTGGGTTTTTATAAGAAAATTCAAATTTAGTCATGATTTTGTTGATTCGCATTCTAACCCTTGTACATATTCTTCATTAAATCATAAATAATAGCAGAACTAATTTGCATGTTAGGTAGAAGTGGTGATCATAATGATAATGATAGTAATATTTTTTATGATGATAGTATCCATGATGATTGTAATTGTATTGATTGTGATAAATGATAAACCTTGACTATCTTGTACCAACAAAGGATTTAATTTGAATAGCTGCATTTTTATAATTAACTGTTGTCTTTTGTTCTCTGATAAGGTGAGTGAGTTCCAAGGTCATTCGTGTTCATCCATCCATCGCCTTGCAAAGTGAATAGGCAGTTTATTCGGGAATTCGAAGCCACTAGCATGAAAAGCATTTTCCTTTGATGAATGTGATTACTGGAATATATCCAAATCACATACACACAAAAATGTTTCTATTGGTGTGTGTGTATGTGTGTGTGTGTGTATATATGTATGTGTGTGTGTGTGTGTGTGTGTGTGTGTGTGTGTGTGTGTGTGTGTGTGTGTGTGTGTGTGTGTGTGTGTGTGTGTGTCTGTGTGTGAAAGAGAGAGAGAGAGAGAGAGAGAGAGGGCGCGCACCATGTAACTTCACACACGATATATTCCATTAAAGGCATACACATAACTCACCAAAGAATGACTCAAACAAAAATCACACCCAGATAACATAAGCAGTCCCCACCCCGAAACACCGCCTTTGCCTCGCTTCCATTCACACGCCCTCGCACCCTCACGCAGGAAGATGCAGTTGGCGAGCGGTCACAAGGGCGCCATTTTGGAGGGCGAGGAGTGGGAACGCCAGAAGAGGGACTGGACGGGCTACAGCAAGGGGTTAGTTCGCCTTGAGCCCGGCAGATGGCTCTTCCCGGCGCCTTTCCTCAAATTCGGGGACAAGTATTATAATTTCAAGGTAAGTTACTCGTTCGTAGTTAATCGTTAAAGCATTCATATATGAAATAAGGAAATGCTACGTAACAAGGTGGTCATATCACACACTCCCCTTAAAAAAAAGCGTTTATAATTAGTACAAATAAATTAATTAGTTCGCGTAAAATACATGCAGTTACAAAAAAAAACTCCTTTAGTTCCAGCCGAGCGACGTGGTGGTGATGACGTACTCGAAGAGCGGCACGACGTGGATGCAGGAGATCGTGTGGACGATGAGGAACAACCCCAACCTCGACCATCCCATGACCAACACGCACATCTTCGCCCGCTCGCCCTTCCTCGAGTGAGTCGCCCTCTGCCGCTGCCGCCTGTCCGTCTGTCTCCCTGTCTACCTGTCTGTCTGTCTGCCTGTCCGTCTGTCTGTCTGCCTCTCTGTCTGTCTGTCCGTCCGTCTGTCTGTTTGTCTGCCTGCCTGTCTGTCTGTCTGCCTGCCAGCCTGCATGCCTATCTGCTTGTCTGTCTGT